GTCGTATGTATCCTCGGAGATAACTTGGGATCTCACTTTATCGGGGGCTTCACCGAAAACTTCAGTTCCTCCACTTTCATTTGCCGCTATTGCCTACTCACACGAAAAGAGTTCAGAGAGGATCCGTGTCGGCTTGGTGAAAAAAGGACTGCAGAAAAGTATGATTTGGCAGTTCAGGAGGTTGAAGAGACTGGGTCGTCTGTTGAAGGGGTGAAATCAAACAGCCCATTTAACAGTCTGACATTCTTTCATGTATGTGATGCGGGACTTCCTCCTTGCATAGCACATGACCTTTTTGAAGGTGTTGTTTCATACGACCTTCTCCTTTTCATAAAGCACTTTACAGAGACATGCGAGTGGTTCTCATTGAAATACCTGAACTTCAGGATAGCATCTTTCAAGTTCTTGGGCTCTGACACAACTAGCAAACCCTGTGAAGTAAACATAAAAGGAAATAAGTTAGTTGGTGAAGCTGTTAAAACATGGAATTTGCTGCGCCTGCTTCCTCTGTTTGTTAGCCATAAAGTTGACACTAAAGATCCCATCTGGTGCCTCTACCTTACCTTAAGGAAGGTGGTTGACATTATCTGCGCTCCCAAAGTAAATGAAGAAATGGTTGCCTACTTGCATGTGCTAGTTGAAGAGTACCTTGCAGACCGCAAAGAGTTATTTCCTATGGCACCTCTGAAACCAAAGCACCACTACCTGCTTCACTACTCCACGCTCATCACACAGCTTGGTCCACTAATAAACCTGTGGACGTTGAGGTTTGAAAGCAAACACTCATTTTTCAAAAATTGTGTCAGACGCCTGCAAAATTTCAAGGCACTGAACAAAACCCTTTCTGAACGACACCAGCTGTTGCAGGCATACCTGCACTCTGAGGCATTTTTCGATCCTGACATTGTAATGAAGGCAGGAATGCCTTTTCTAATTTCAACTTACTCGGAAGCTCTCCAGAAATGCTTAGGCAGTTTTAACTTCACGTCAGAAGACACCATGGTTACAAATGAGGTTTCATACAAAGGGACATCCTACTCATTTGGTGCCTTTGTACCTACCTGCATGGACAATGAGTTGTGCTTTGGTGAAATAATGTTGCTGTTAATTCATAACAGAAATAATCTCTTCACTGCTGTGAAAGTTTATAGCACAACATATTTGCCACATTTGCATTCATATGCAGTGCATGCATCAGAGCAGTTTGCATGCATGCACATTGATCAACTAACGGATTATTACCCACTACCTGCGTATAAGGTACAGAATGCAATGATGATCATCCCAAAACACTGGGTTCCTTCGTAGGATGCAGGCCGTCAAAGAACAAATAATTGCGGCCTTGCCAAACCTGACCTCGGGTGAGGTTGAGAGCGTCCTCAACAAATTTATGAGCCTTGGCGTAGAGTGCCCAAATGACCTCAACTTTCTGACTGAGGGAGACCTCGCAAGCATACTCAAACCAATCCAAGCCAGGAAACTCGTCGCCTACCTCAAGCCACAGAGTAAGTACAATATTTTTCTACTCAGACTATTACTGGCAATTATATTATGTATTGCAGAGCATATTATGCTCTGCAATACATTATAGTATATAGGGTTCTGTGTTTTTGGAGTTTATCTTTTTTTTTTTTTAATTTGGAAAATGTTTTTCGAAGTTTTATTTTTATTAAAAATTCAATGTTCTTATTTTTTTTCAATCTTCAATTCTACAATATTTTGATATTAATTTCACAGTATTTAATCAGAAAAATTACAACAGGAATAAATAATAGTCAGTGAAAGAAACATCAAAGAACGCTGACAGAAATTTTTATTGTATAAAATATTTAAATAGAGCACTGCCCTGCAGTTCAAAACTTGGATGTATTACAAACAAGCCTGATGTAATAAACACAAGCATACAGTGTTTGTATTTTAGTGTAAGTGCTTCTGTCCCCAAAACGTATCCTCACTATCACAGATACTACAGGAATGTGCTGTAAACCGGGTGCAAGGGAGAATGTTAAAACTTCAGCTTCTCGCAGCCACTCCTCCCATGAAATCGATGGGAACATAACACCCACTGTGACAGAAAAAAGGCCGCCCTTACTTCCTGCAGAAGTCAGAAATGGTACAGTCTAAACTCAAGACAAGGAAAACCGCTAATAGAGTCGGATGCTTAGCTCCTCCTGTCGTCACCGAAAAATACATTATCCTCGTCAACGTGACGCATCTCCTCAAGGCTAGTGGCCTTTCGCATTGATCAGGCATAGGCAAAATAACTAAAATTTGTTTGCCATCGTGACCTCCAAAATCAGCGTTTTTCAGAAAAAATCCGAATTGACAAAAAAGCTTTATAAAAAGTTTTAGCTGCGAGCGTTTTTTTGGGTTTTATTAAATTCATTCGAAAACATGGAACCCTAATTATATATGAACAAGGCTCAAGGGCTTATTTGCTCAAAGTGCAGTTAAGTCGGACCACAATTAATATGTACCCAAGTCTTTGGTAGGTGCCAAAAGTACCTACTCAACTCCAACACGGCTGGATGCACATTAGCTGCTGGACACAAGGTTGCATTCCCTTGTGAGGATCAACCTATTTGCTGACATACTATCATTCTTGTGACACAAACTCTCAGATTTTACTTTACTCACATCTTAGTACTTCCTGCTGCTCATCTTCCAATCTCCCAACAAATCAATTAGCTGGCCGGTCAACTTTTCCACTATCTGGAAACAAAAGTATTGCAGATGTGCCAACACCGAATGGAACCAGACGCCAAACACAATCGACGCCTAAATAAACAGACTGCATTTTCGGACATACTGTGGTTGTGACAAGTGAGAGCCTGTGTTCCGCAGGTAATTTAATCCAGATTAACAAGTTTGGCGACAATTAACTGCAGCAGCGAATCATGTTCGGTGAACTTGTGGGAGAGCAGCTTTCTCGTCGAAACATTCTGGTTATGCTTAAAGGAGCTGTGCAACAATTTCAGGGCTTTCTTAAATAATTATGGAAGTTGATGCCTGACACTTCTGAAGTGAACTACAGAAAACAGATTTTGCCTGGATACCCCAGTTTTATTTTAAAAAATGAAAAAGATCTAGGTTTTTGCCGCCTCTCAACTCGTACGTCGTCTTCCAGGTCACGTGCGCAGTGACGTTGATGGGGTAGGTGCGGGGTTCCGGAAAAGTTCTCTCTTTACAGTTGTCAGTGAGAAGCGAGAACTCATCCGCTCGCGACCTCGTGACCACGTGCTGGCGGGCGCAGCGCGAACACTATGGTGAAAGGAGGAAAGTCTCATCCGGGTCCCGCCATACCTGACCGGCCCTGTCCCCCTCCGCCTCCGGCTTCTGGCGGCTGTTCGCGGGAGCAGATAGAGCTCACGGTTCTGTGGACCTAGGATAGATTGTGCCACTAAAACTCCGTATAATAAAAGTTTTGTCGATGATACCAGGTTTTTGACGCATTTATATATATGTTGGAACGCCAAGATTTATAAAAAAAGTTACCTTTTATCGAGCAGGTATTCGCACAACTTGCTATCTTTTTACAAGATTCCCCATTGACATCATGCCGCGTGTTTCTCATGGCCGCCGCTCGCGGCTGCAGGTCGGTGAATATTCTAAGTTTTGCCTCGCTATCATGCGGCGGAATCGCAACATTTCGATGAAAGGAGATGTGTTTTCTGTCATTTGTGACAAGGTGAATATCAAAAGTAAAAGATCCCAATTCTTCCAACGTTAAAATCGTTGCACAGCTCCTTTAAAGAGCCCAGGACGCCAAAATTCAGAGGTCGGCATTTTAGGTCACCCTCACTCACCCTCACCCTCAGAGCCACACTCACCTAAGCCCCTCACTCACCCTCACAGCTACATTCACCTCCAGCACTTCACTCACCCTCATCCTCACAGTCACACTCACCTTCAGCCCTTCACTCACCCTCACTAAACCTCACGGCCCTCACGCACTCGTGGCCCTCACACCCCTCACACACTCATGGCCCTCACGCCACTCACCGCCCTCATGCCCCTCACCGCCCTCACGGCCTTCACGCACTCATAGCCCTCACGCCACTCACCGCCCTCGCACCCCTCACGCACTCACCGCACTAATATTCTAAACTTCCTGTTTTCTTAACCCTTTATGTAGATGTCTCCGACAGCAAAACTCCAGAACAGTTTGGGGCTACATCTTCTGAAGCCAGCACCTCATCAAAAACAAGTTACCATGTCGACTCAACCTGGGCAAACAATTTTGACATACAGTGGAAGGAGATGCCGCCAAGGTTACAACAGGCCCTAAAGGAAAACAAACGGCCTTTGCCCAAAGATCGCAGGGAAATGGTCAGACTCATCATAAAGACGTCAATGGAAATGTGCCCACGGCCACTGAGGAAGCAGCTGGACATGATTGCAAAAAAAGTGGTGGACCAGTACCCATTGTCTTTCAAAGATGTCTTGGATGGAACAGTGGTTGGAACAGGACATGATTCTCTCCTGAACCAGCTTCTTGCCAGGGTGGAAAACGTGAGACGTGAAGACACGGAAAAGATAGCAGTGCCGACGCACACAAATCGAAAACAGAGGAAAGAGTGTAGCTACGGGTGTCAGAGCAGTTCCCCAGGTTACACACTTGAGGAAGAGCTGGAAATTAACAGCGACAAAGAGAGATTGCAGGCAATGTTTCGTGAAAGGTCGGCCAACACCGATGAAGTCCTTAAGCTCATGCGATCAACATATCCATTGCAACGTAGGGACATTAACTCTGAAGTGATGCCAATGAGAGAACTGTTGTGTGCATGGCCCTTCTTGTTCGTCCCTTCTGGTCTCTTCTGTCACTTTAGTGCCCTATGCAGTTTCGATATTCAAGACAGACTAAGGGAGTCGCTGCAAAAGAAGAAGGATGTAGTTCTCAAACTAATGAGACTGGACAAGAGGACAGAAAATGAGTATACCAAGCTAATGGAAGACATTGCAAAAGCTGGAGACAATGCAAGTCCAGAAGCTGGGTGTTTGGCACTGATGATACTACTTGTGACATGGTTCGGCGAAGAGAGGGACTGCCTCATTCTGAGGAAAGATGTGAGTGGTAGCATTTTATTTTCAAGCCTGATCTACTCCAGGTCAGAGTTCCTGCTAGCACTGCACCCAAAATGTAGTAAAGCATTTGTTGCTTTTCTTGTTGCATACAGCTATTTTGAGAGCTTAATCATTTTGACAGTATCTACAATCTTAAGCACTCTTGAATTCTTGGACCATTTCTTCTTGCCTTTGCACAATAACCTAAAGTTGTTACCTGCCAAAGCATGTTGCATTGAACCTAATTTCTTTCCTAAAGCAAATTGCTAAGCACTGAATGCTATCCAGAATGGCACATTGTCAGAGTTTGTGGTTTTGCGAGGAGGAATATCTGATTAAAAATTGTTTAACCACAACCATGACAATTTATCATTCCTAAGTCCAGAATCTCTTAAAAAAACCACTAAAACAAATTTTTTTAAACAGCGTGGTTAGGGCACATGTGTCAAAAAAGTAATTTTATGCGAAAAGAAAAAAATATTCTTTAGAGCAATATTGATGGCGTGAGGCGCAATTTATTTGATTGTCACCTCCTTTCCACTCGCTTTTTCTCTCGGCATTTCAGGCACGTGAAGGAGAGGTGGATCGGCTTTGCATTTTATTTTTTAAGCCTCGACGTTGAGGTGGAGAGAGTGTATGACCATTTCACGATGTCATGAACTTTGCGCGCAGAAATTAAAATAAATATCACGCGATAAATATTGCTCTAAACATATTTTCGCATGAATTTATATTGTTGACGTGCGTGTCCCAATCAGACTGTATAAAAACAAATGTGTCAGAGCAGTTCCCCAGATTAAACACCTGAGGAAGAGCTGGAGATGAACAGAGACAAAGAGAGATTGCAGGCAATGTTTCGTGAAAAGCCAGCCAACACCGATGAATTCCTTACGCTCATGCGTTCAACATATTCATTGCAACGTAGAGACATTAACTCCGAAGCTATCCCAGTGAGGGAACTTGTGTGCATGGCCCTTCTTGTTCGTCCCTTCTGGTCTCTTCTGTCATTTTAGTGCCCAATGTTTTCAGTGGCCTTGTAAGAATTAGTGGTTGTGGAAGTGGGGATTTGTTTTAACATAACCATGTGACTTTCAATTTTTACAGCCATTTCTAACTGCTGCTGAAGTCGAGGAGGACCTGCCACTCTCTCCTTGCATTATAGCACTGGGTATGTTTATGACTAGATTGTATCATTATATGTACTACAAATTAGCCCTGTCCCCGAACTAAGTTCCAGAAGTTCAAGTTCTAATGTTACAACTTGTTATTAATGCAGAAGTAGAATATAAATAAAAATGGTGTTTGGCGTTTTTGGTTTAAAGCAGTAAAAGTGGCAACTTAATTTTTGTAAATTCAGTTTTAAACGAGAAAGGTCAGTATTTCAGGCCACTATGGCAAGCCAAGAGGAGACGGGATATGTCGTCGCACTTGACTGAGTAGTCGACTATCTCACCTACGTAACTGTGAAGTGTTCTGTGGGTGGAGGGTCTGCAGGACAATACTCTTTAGGGAGTACTTGGGTTTGTCGTGGATGCAATCTGCATTCATTTTGTGGCTCAGTCCTTGTGCATCAAATTGGTGTCGTCTTCTAGAAGCCAGATTTGGAGTTTTTTGTTGTTTGTCACGCCCTTTGATTTCCGCTGTTTCTTTTTTATGGGGAGGGGAGCTGTTTTAACACCTCCTCAAGCTTCTCTCTGGTTAGTGGGAAGCAGTTTTGATAATCCTATAAATATGAAGAGCAGAAAAGTGCCAATAGTTACGCTTGTGAATTTCACAGTTTAGAATTTTTCGTCATCCTTACAAAGTGCTAACCAAGGTTATGTTTGTCATGTCAGGAATTATTGCTGCGGATATATAATTCAGATATCTGTCTAATGTACTGTGTTTTGGAGCGACCTCATTGAAAAATGGAAGTAGTCGATGTGTATTCACCAAAAAAAAAAAAACGGTAAGCTTTCATTTCTAAAAATGTTTGCCGATAAAACTGAAAATGTATGTCCGATCTTGGAATACGCGGGGTGCGTATGGGACCCATACAGGAAGCAGCAGGTTGCGCAAATTGAACGGATACAGAATCTGGCACTTCGGTTTTTTTTTTCTGAGTATAGGCGCACAGAGTTAGTTACGGCAATGAGAAATGAAGTGCGGCTAGATTGTTTAGAGAAAAGAAGGAAAGTGTGTAGATTAAAGGAATTATACGCAGTTGCTAATAATGGATTGACAAAGATTAATTCTGAAGTGTACATTTTACCTTCAACATCACGCTCCAAAAAAACAAGCAATACTAAAGCAATTGAACCCTACCAGTACAGAAATGATGTATTTAAATACTCTTTCTTTTGTTGGACTATTATTGAGTGGAACACCCTGCCTGAGCAAGTTGTCAATTGTTGTAGTCCTCAATTATTTGAAGCACAGCTGAATCAATTGTTTGGTTAAATTTTGCATGTGGAAATGTTTTTGAGCATGCGTGGGTTGCTGCAACCTACCTGCACTCGCCTCATACGGTGAGTGCATGATTGAGTTATTTCTGTGTGTTGTTTTTTCCCCTCCTGTGTAGAACGACAGGTCCACAGTATTTCAAATAAATAAATAGATAAATTTCCAAATAAAAGCCAAAAGAAGTATGTCAAATCCTAGAACAATAAAAACCTAAAAACACTGATATCTAAATATAAAGCAGGTCTCAGAGTTTAAATCAAATACAAATCATTTGAAGTGTTTCACATGTCTGTCGGACAATTCATGAAATCTACAATGGCTACCTATAGCCCATAGCGACAACACACATTTCCGAAGTTGCTAGAAGTGACAAATCATTCGATTTCTTTGCAACCAATAGAAGTATGTGCTAGATGTAACGATACAGCGAGTATCCATGCGAATGCGGTGGTCATGTGCAACTGGGGAGGGAGAGGGCCTTCGAGGTTCCTGTTCAGTTTTGGTGGCACATGTCTCCCCTCCACTAACCAGTGAACATTTGCCTAGGTGCCTTCACAGGCCATCCTCTCCCTTTCTGGAGTAGAATTCTGACTGGCCTACACTCAAGCAAGCTCACTCATAGTGGAGGGAAGGCAAATTGAGCCAAGGATCTCATCTCCTGTCGGCAAAAAGTAATGTTGGAAGTGCTTCGAATGTGGGGGGGAGACCGGCAGTGAGGGTGGGAGGGACGAAGCTGGGCCCCTTCCCTTCTCCCATTTTGTTTTTACAATTATTTGAAATGTCCACGATCTGGAGGTGCAGCCCAGCCCCATTGTTCCAATGCCTTGTCAGCAACTCTACTTATCTGAATGTTTACTATTTTCTCATTTTTTAAACTTTTGTAGGGGATGATCTGTGGACTGCCCACGAGTACGCACTCAGCATTGATGGCAGGCTCATGGTTCAGAAGATACCAGACGTCCCTACGGCATGGGCTGCACTCTTCGCGAGCCACTATTGCTTTAACATCTGCTACGCTGAAGGCCTGTCATCGACCCTTGAGTTCCTTCAGAGGTAATTTCCTGTTCTGTGATTTTGGTATATCTATGTGGATGCCTAGTAGGACTCCATACTTTTTATCTATCATTTCCAGGCTTATTGTTCCTATCGAAATAAAGCAAACACCTTGCACATTTACTGTCATGAAAGACATAGAGCCACAGTTGGTACCTTCCTTCTCATTTGTGAAATAGAAGAGCACATATCTCGCTGATTGGAAGGCTGTCCCAATTGCTTCCGCCAGCTCCAAACAACTATAGCTCCCACATCCTGCACCAATGCTGCACTTTTTATTGAAATTGCACCCGAGCAGAGTCCACAGATCGAGCAGTCAAACAGCTTCAATTGCATGTATGCATAGGCCAGTGGTCTTGGTATTTCATCAGGCAGCTGGACTGCATTGTAATAACAAAGCTCAGAAATCAATTTTAGGGAAACATTTAAGCACAAAGCTAACACTACCTCAACCTGGCATATAAAGGTGAAATAAACAAGAAAATAAAAAAAATAGAGCTTACCTTTCAAACGGATTTGCCCCTTCTGACCATTGCTAACATGTCATTTTAACGTGCCCATCTACAACGAAACAACTCCAGCAATATTGCATATTTTGATATGCTCCCGCTTCTCACTGAAACGTTTTTGTATACAAGCTTAGTGTTTGGTCCCACCTATTATAACTTGTGGGTCCTCAGGTTAGGAGAGCTGCAATAGGGGGGCATGAAGAGATGCATGCGGCTCACGAGCCGCAGTTTGTCCCCTCCTGATATTCTCTTTACTAAATATTTGACTTTCTTCTAGTCTCTCCCTTCGGTCATGTATACATATGTGACACATATGACTAAATTGACTAACTTTTCAGGTTACCAACTTGGATGAAATGTTTCTTTCATGGCACTGATGCTTATTGCAGAGGTTTCCTGAGCATGAACCCTGACCGTGGCACCAGAGCCAAGCGCTCCAAGTCGGAAGTGAACAAGAAAGTACTTAACCTGGTCAAGAAAATAGCAGAGCTGGAGTGGAATGTGTGAGGCTGTAAGTATGATTCACTACAGTGTTCACTTAATAAATGGGAAGTGGACATGAGACTTATTTTGAAGAGAAGCAGAAGAAGGTGAAATAATTCAATGAGCGTAAGAGTCCACTGTCACTAGAGAGGAAGAATAATTCTCAGAGATAGCTAGATGCAGGGATACATTTACCACTAACGAAGAGTATGTGAAGGTTTTGTAACAGACCACTTAGCAAACTACAAGCATTACTCACTGGTATAGTGTGTTTTTCTGCCAGTGATGGATTTACAAAAAAAAATGCTCTCACTTCAATTTTTGCAAAAAAAAAAATTGAATTTGGCGCTTGATTAGTACTTCTCATGAGTCGGCCCCTTTATCAAATTATCTGTGCTGGATAGCAAAACAATGATATCACACAGCTTATTTTAGAGCAAAATTTCCGGCTGTAGACAGGTACCTGGAAAGGTTAGTTCGTGAAATATTAAAGGCAATTTTGCAACTGTTACCCGTCTGGGAGGGGATGTGATGAGGTAGTTTACGATAATGGTTCTTCATTGATTCTGGCGAATGAGTGTTCGCCATCATTGTTCGCAGAGTCCCACCCAGCTTGTCACCATTCTGGGAATAATGGGATCACATAACCATCACCAGTGTGTGGTCACCTGACCATACTGCAAATAGTGAATCGGTCATAGTCAGATGGTCACATAACCACACACACCATACATCTGAGTGAGCCCAACACATTCTGACCTTTCATAGCTTTTGTGAGCATAATCAAGCTTGCCTAAATGTTTTCTTACCTTGTTGTGATACTGCTCATGCCTACATTTCACCACACATTACTTCATCCCATTATTATAGAAAGCAGTGAATAAGACCCTGCTTCATGGCTGGACCATCAGAGTGGGCTTGAGCAAATAATCAAAATTTATTGCTGCTCTGGGCAATATACTACTCAATTTTAATTTTGTAAAATTGATGCTGTGCTTTCAAGTTTGGGAATTTTTGGCATTATGTGTGGTCTGTCCAATCTAGTTAGCCACCACCATTGGGCGCACTCTTAACCATACACTTGTGCACCACAAAGAGGTGGTACCCACAGGTTTCACACTGATTCTGCATATCTCGTCTCGCTGTAGCAGAGGCTCATGCTTGGGAAGGAAAGTTGTCATTTAAACATATGGTCCACATGTCTTTGAATAGACAGGGAAGTTGAGAAATGATAATTTGAAAATTCCAAGTTGGTGTAAGATTTCAAAAACCAAGTCGTTTGCTAGTACAGGGTCTCCTAAAAAGTTCACGCACTAACATGGCCCGCAGATTTGAACATGTATATTATTTAGTGCATGGATTAAATGATGGAGATGTTAGTATTGTTGATAACAGTGTGGACATATCAAGTAGTCATATTCCTTGAACGGATATATTACTAGTTAAATTAACATGTTAGAATAAACATAAAAATCTTTGTTAAATGCAATTGTTGTGAATAACTATATTACAGAATTTTTTACCCTTAACTCGACACTAGTGGTAACACAGGGGTGGGAAAGGAAAGCAGGCATTGTCTTCTAGTTTTGACAGGCAAACAGATGTATCTTAATGTAGTATTCATAACAGAATGAATAAGAAGTGTGCTTTCAAAATCCAAAACTTCCTTTTGTTGCTTAAAAATATATTTTTGGCTGGCCCAGAAGGTGCTCCGAAATTACTCTGACCGTTTACATCACATCAGCACTAGCTTGGAGTTACTTTCCTTGATTTTTTCAGTCTGTGGTTTTCTACTCATTCTGTTCTGTTTGAATATGTCTGTTGAAGGTCGGTCATCTTATGTGGGAACGAGGCATGCAACATGGGGCTCGGGCTCATTCAACACAAGGTCTTGGCACCAGGAAGATTTCAGCAGCCATAAGCAATGGCACTTGGGTCCAAATTTGGTGAGTATGATAATGATCGAGCACCCAGCTGCTTGTGTGAAAAAAAGAATGGGGGGACACTTATGCTCGGCCTTAATGTATGACACGATGGCGGAAGGGCAGGGGGTGGAGGAGGAGAGGGGAGGTGGGGACAAGGGCAGGGAGGGCAGCAATGGGGAGGGGGGGGGGGATCCTATGATCCCTTGCATGCACAAGGGATCGTGGCGCAAAACATTGAGGGGTTTCTCGACATGCCGACGCTGGACGCCGGTTCTTTTGCTGCATTAACACTATTGGGTTGAAACATAACTTACCTAGCCTCACTTAAAACTCAAGCATAGCTTTACTACGCTGCCTATAATTACATGAAAAAATGTCTATGTGATGCTAGAAATGAGACATGGTTAACATGCAGTCATATATTTTAAGAGAAATGATACCACACTAGGTATAGTGCATCTTATACATGGCAAATATAGGTCGATGAAATGAGAAGCATGTAAGTAGCAGCTGCATCACAAGCTGTCCTTGTTTAATTTGGATATCGTCTCAAATTGAAGTGCTGAGCACACTGCTTTAACCATTTGTTTATCTGAAGTGACACTAGGCACAGTGCACAGAGATTCTATTGCCAGCTAAGCCTGACGTTCGCAGCTCGCCCTGATGCAACCGGCCACGACTATTCATATCTCTTATGGTGTGAACATGTCAGAGAAAGATTAATGATGCCTTTTCATTACTGCACGGTGGCAAGAGAATTGCAGTCCCTGGTGGTGGAGAAAGACTAGTTCTACGTTAGTGCCAACAAGAGTCAAGCAGCTTAACTATCGATGAAGAGGGGGAGTAAATTTCTATGTGTGCTGCTTAATTAATGTCAACCCCTGATTTTGAAAACAAACTCACTCAGCTCTTAAGTTGAAAAATGTCTAGTAAGTAAATAGTAGGCTTTCCCATAAAATAGCTGTATTTTTGTGCAGCACTCTCTGCCAAACTTTGTGCATATCCTCTCATTCATTTGCCCAGGTATATAGCGGCTGTGCTGGGATACTGAAATGGTATTCGAGAAAACCAGAATACATATACTACATGGCTAATATATAGCTACTGAGATATAATGAAGTTTGACTTGATTAGCAGAAGCTAAGCTAGAGGGGGGGTTCAGTTGTCACATAAAGCTTCTTTCAAACATTGTAAGCAATATCAGCATCATTAGTTTCTTTGCACAGTGAATAAAGCGTGGCTAACATTATACAACATATCTGTTAAATTGCTTCTATTTTGGCACATTTATATATGTTATATTGATAACTGGTTTCTTTCTTTTCCAGATCAGAGGGTATATGGACCTGGGTCTTCATCATCCAAGTAAATAAATGTTCTGTTTTTATTTCTATCCTACACATAATTTATGCTGTGTTCTGGCTTAATTGCATTTGCATGTACATACACAACGATCGCATTGCAGACATGAAGACCACACTACAATTACAATAAACAGCATGCCACATATATTGCAGGCACAAAATGGCTAACCTAAGGAGACTTCATGACCCATTGTTTGATTCATTGTCTGTTGACCAGTAGTAGGAAGTAAATCGAAGCAGCAAAACATGTGCGGTGAAACGCTAAGCATGTCGTACAATGCGGTGGGAAGATGATAGAATCCGACAATGCTTACTTTTGTCGAATTTTGCATACTTTCTGACATGTTGTACGAAGTGCTAGCGCTTCATTGTGCCAGCATTTTGCACCTTCAATTTACTTCTTACGATGGCCAACTGGCAGTGAATTAAACGGTCAACAATTTTACGGTGACCATTAAATTAGCAGTCAGTTGACCGGCAAATAAACTGCCACCATGCCGTGATCTTAGCGGCAGTCAGTAAATCTCGTTTACGGTCTGTTCAGCATCGCCCCGTAAAATTAACGGTATCTTTTTTTACTGCGACCGTTTAATTTACTGGGAGATGACGGTCAGGCAGTAAATTTGAATTTACGGTCTCCCGTATAAATTACGAGAAGTTGCTGGCAGCCAGAATGCCAGTCAACTTACCGTAATTTTGACGGCCCATTTTTTACAGTGTAGTAGTGCACTAAAGTTACCACTCGTGGAGCAGCTACAAGGCTAGCGTTTGCGGTAGGGCGCCCATTCGATTTTTCCGTCCCTTATGAGCGCCCGAGCCTTGTACCTGCTCCACGAGCGGTGAATTTAACGCACTACAGCGCTCCTCACGTGGTCAAAATCTTTCTAAAAAATGCTGATTTGGGGGCTTTGGATGACGTTGAGCAAGATTCTAATTGGAAGTATGTGACAATTTTCCCTAATTAAAAATCGAATTAATAAATAATACTTAATAGCTGACTGATCGTTACGATTATCCCCACATATACCATGTTTCCTGGCCGAATCACTCACCTGCACAAAACGCACAAATGTATCATTCACAGCTTTTTTTATATACAAATATGTAAAAAAGAGACTATATATATATACACTGTAAGAAGTGCTGTGATTTTTACATTCCGGTGAACGTAAAAATGGCAGAAATTCAATCGTTGTCCGGAAGCACAGTCCTATGCCTGTAAGTGAGGCGCGGAGGCGAAAGGATAAGCGGAAAACAGAGGAGGAGGGGCAGCGTCGGTGGTCGCCACGGTTGCCACCGGAGCAGGGCGGTCACGTGGGAGAGTCACGCGGCCATCGGTTCGACGCATAGAGTTATTATAATGTACGCTAGATGTTCAAGTGGCGCTAGTGTGCTGACGCAAATTGAAGCAGACAGCAAAAAGTCCAAAATTGACTTCCGGTAATGCATTCCTATGGGAAAAAGTGAGCGCATTTGCTCCCTGCGCTCGATCGTAAGAGCAAATATCCCAAATAATTCGCACGTACTAGGCGCATTGGAACATTTCTGAGTCAGGCCGACGAAAAAATTGGTCAGTTACGGCGTTTTTCTTTCAAATTCATCGCATTAAAAACTGTGCTAAAACGGCTTCGTACGTGTATTTATGTGCACTGTCGGACACTGTTAGCGCGAACACGACGTCGGCGCTTTTCAGCATGAGGGATACACGTGCCAAACGAACGAAGAACATCTGGAAATTAAGGGAGACGGCAAGAACCACGCAGTAACACTGGATCAGTAACTACCCGTCCATGTCAAAATAAATTGAAGGCAACGTACTCTATTCCGATTTTAAATAAGTACAGTTTTATTCTTTCTGCTCTGAGCGAAGATGATATTCGTTTTACGTTCAAAATATCACCCGCACGCTCGAAATCTTTGAGCACAAGTGCCCGATAAAAGCTGCCCGGCAGAGAAAACAATACGAAGAGACACCTTTCATAGCCCACAGACTTTATTCTCTACGGTTTGAATGTTTTAGAGCGCAGCTCTTAGGGGCCCGTTCCCGGCTTGAGCGGCGTCGGCGTCGGCGTCGCCGTCGGTGTCGGCGTAACCAAGGTCACCCCAAGGTCACGTGACCCCCCAAGGTCATCCCAAGGTCACGTGACCCCCCGAGGTCACTTGACCCCCCTCCTTCAAGGTCACGTGACCCCCCCTCCCCGAAGTCACGTGACACCCCCCAGGTCACGTGACCCCCGCCGAGGTCACGTGACCTCCCCAATGACGTCACCGTCACTGATGACATCACTGGCATCCGCATCGTCATCATCATCACTGATGACGTCACCAGTGACGTCACTGATGACGTCACCGGCATCCTCATCGTCATCGTCATCATCACTGATGACTTCCCCGGCATCCGCATCGTCATCGCCATCATCACTGATGACGTCATCAGTGACGTCACTGATGACGTCCCCGGCATCCGCATCGTCATCGTCATCATCATGGATGACGTCATCAGTGACGTCACTGATGGCGTCATCGGAATCCGCATCGTCATCGTCACCGATGACGTCATCAGTGACGTCACTGATGACATCATCGGCATCGTCACGTGACCCCCCAAGGTCACGTGACGATGCCGATGATGCCATCAGTGACATCACTAAAGGTCACGTGACCCCCCAGGTCACTTGACCCCCCCAGTACCCTTCCCTCCTCCTCCTCAAGAGCTGCGCTCTAATTCGGTGTTACATGAAGTTTTAAACGGCTTTCACTTTTTATTCGCTCATACGCACGACCGGGTCATTTTCACGTGACCCCCCCAGGTCACTTGACCCCCCCAGTACCCTTCCCTCCTCCTCCTCAAGAGCTGCGCTCTAATTCGGTGTTACATGAAGTTTTAAACGGCTTTCACTTTTTATCCGCTCATACGCACGACCGGGTCATTTTCATATAGTGACAGGACTGGCATATTATCAATATATAAGCGTCACCGGAATGCTGGCAAGCCTTGAACACACTCCATATTCCTTTCGATTGTAATTTTGCTCTGAATCGCCGCTTATTTTTACATACGCACTGCGGAACACACGTTTGGGATTGAAATGTAGCGAAGTTAAACATCGCTGACTAATGAAGAAAAATGCGCTAACTAAACTAATTACACTTTTACAATGTTATTCAAGGTACATACTATTCGGTACGACCCAAATAACAAAAACTATCCATGTTATTTTCCGTCGAGGAGACAAAAAGCCGCCTCGGTGGCTCAGAGCAATAAAAGAAAGAAAAAAAAGAAAGCTTCGGTAGTTCCGAGGCGAGAGCGCCGGCCTACGGATCCCCAGGTGGCGGGTTCGAATCCCGACCGAGGAGCCCGCAATATTGCCGCGCGCGCAGCTGGCCAAGTAGGCAGCGCGCGCGTGGCCTAGCGGTTATCGCGCTTGCTTTCCACGCTGAAAGCCAGGGTTCGATTCCTGGCCGCGGAGGCGCATTTTTGTTGACACTGTAATGTGATGTTCTCGTGAATTCGAGAGCCGTCTTTGCTGATTCGAGGTTAGAATGTTCCACGCGCCGAACCTTCTACGCCGAACGATCCAGAAAGCCACGACGGTACATAAGGGATTCCGCAAGGCGAGCGGTGTCAGTTTCGCCCCAGCGTTCGACTCTGCTGCTACGCCGACTTCGACGCCCGAGACGCTCTGTTATTATCTTTCGTACCCTGTTATTTTTGGCACAAATTCGCCACATTAAACGTTTATTTCTTTCTGTTTACTTATTGTTCTTTTGGTCACCACCCGTGACACTTTGGTGGAGGTGCGGGGTACCGCATGCCCGTGCAGCGTTCCCCTCCCAGGGCCCGCAGTGCAAGCCCCATTCCAAGCCCGGTGAGAAGACCACTCAACGCGGAACCTGAAACTCGGACCAGTCGCCGCACCCAAGGTCTACCCCCGGAACACGGACTTCTGCCACCCCGGACCAGGCAGCCAACGAAGCCGACGATGGACAACCAGTCGTCGCAGAACCCGTCCGCCGCCGCCGTCGTATACCTTCACGTCGCACCCCGGACTCCGACGCCATTCCCAGGGGAGGTCCACGAGGACGTTGAAGATTGGCTGCAACATTACGAACGAGTTGCTCGCCATAATGCATGGACTCCGGAGCAGTGCCTTCAGAACGTGTACTTCGCTCTGGAAGGCACGGCACGCACCTGGTTCGAGAACCACGAAGCGTCGATTTCGTCCTGGAAAGACTTCCAGGCGGAGCTTCGACGCACTTTTGCAAGCCAGCAGCGACGTCAGCGTGCCGAACAACTTCTTCAAGCAAGAAGCCAAGGGCCAAACGAGAGCGTCACAGGTTTCGTCGAGGACGTTCTCCACCTCATGAACCGCGCCGACCCAAACGCTTCAGACGAGAAGAAGCTGCGGTTCCTGATGCGAGGGGTGAAAGAGACCATCTTCGGAGGCCTTGTGCGGAACCCGCCTATCACCGTCCAAGACTTCATCACGGAGGCAAAAAACATCGAACGTGCCCTTCAAGCACGGGCCTCCCATTACCAGCGACTTCCCGGCGTCGCGGCCCTCTCGACTTCCACCTGCAACAGCCCGGACCTTCGCGAGATTATCCGGGACGTCGTGCGGGAGGAAATCAGGAAGCTGCTACCTCCTGCCACAAGCGCGGCTGCGCCCTCAGTCGCCGAGATTGTCCGGGAAGAACTTCAGCAGGCGCTGCAGCCAGAAGTTCTCGCCAGCGCCGCTCCTGAACCACCGAAGCTGAGCTACGCCGCAGCTACCCGACGACCACCGCCCCCTGCTCACCCGTATACGGCGCCACCTCGACGTGAACCTCTAGCGCCGCAGTATTCCCGACGCCAGGAAGATCGGGCGTACCCCTGCCCAGAACAAGCTGCGCCACGAAAGACCGACGTGTGGAGGACGGCCGATCGACGCCCGTTGTGTTACCACTGCGGTGAAACCGGTCACATTTACCGTCGATGCCCCTACC